AAAAAAATAAAAATAGAAATAAAGAAAAACGAGTTTATGTGTTAGATATGTAAATACATAATAAATTGGGTTGTAAGTAGATAAATGCACCTATTATAAGTTGTTGCGCTTAATGGGAATAAAATCCCTCCTAATACCGTATGCAAATCTTCATTAAAAGTGGCTTTAAATGCGATTATAAACCCAAATGAAGAGGGGGGGATTGGTTGCTTATTATTTATAGACATTTTTTTAATATTTAGTATTATGTAGTCGCCAAATTAAACAATGGAGTAAGTATGAATGTATTTAATAAGAAATTATTAGTTTATATGCAGCATTAATTTGTACTGAAATCAGGGTTGGTAGGTTATTGACTTCACTACCTACCATGAGTATTTATTCATTTAAAACAATTTATTAATTCAAAATAAAACAAAGCTAATTAATTATATATAAATAAACAATAGAATAATTACAAATGGAAAGGACATAAATGCAATTAAACATTCATTTAAAAGTCATTAATCAACTTAAACTACAAACTTTATTCTAATAATGACGGTAGAAGGAGGTATAAAAAAGATCTTGAGCTTGAAATTAATTAATTAATTGAGCTATATAAAGAAAAAAAATAAAGATAAATAACAAAGGATTTTTTAGTATAAAATAATTTTTTTTTTAAAAAAAATTTAAAGGTGAATTCTTGAATTTTAATATATTTTGAATATATTTGATATTTATATTTTTATAAATGAGCCACCACACGAAATCATGAGCTGAGTCAGGATGGCCAAAACTTGGTCGATTAGCTAATTGAGCGTAGTTTTAGAAGCCACTTATCGAGTTGAGCTCGAGCTAGCCCATGAGCCAGCTATCTTTAGTTACAATCCTAGAGAATACTAATTAAGCCGATGAGCATTCATGCAATTTATAGTCTCACATATTTTAAATAAAGAGATTTTAATAAAAAAAAAAGAAAATGCTTATATCGAAACATTATGAGGTACTTTAGATAAAGTAATTGTTATTAAATATTAAAACATAAACAAAATTGATACACCGCCAACAAATTTTCATCAGCCGACACGAATCTTGAGACACTTTTTTGAGAAAGAAACATTCAAACTTCAATTAAATGTCATGCAAATCTCTGATTTCATCAAATTTATTGTAAACTGACAGGCTCGATGAGACAGACCTAATAATATCAAATTTAGTTCAATCGCAGTCAAATCAAGCCCATATCAAATCATTAAACCACTCTTAGAGGATTTCCAAACACATTTAGAATGAAGAACTAATGCCGACGCTAGCAAGCCTATACTCAAATCGAGCGTCTTGACAAGACGAATTCAACGAGCCCAAGATTGCTCAATTCTGACATTGTTAAGACACTCAAATGTCCGTTAAACGACATATGATTGAGGGAAGCTCTCCAGACCGTCCGATCAAAATAGTTCATATTCCTGCATTAATGACATCCAAAACACTATAAATAGACCCTTACCCCTCTCAGATGAGAGGAGGGCGGAAGCCTTGGGAGAGAACTTGAAGCTTTGAGAATGAGTTGAGGTACCACCGCCAACCGTTATCGAACACCGCTGATCGTCGTCGACCATCGCCAACTGTCGTCGACCACCACTGATTGTCGTCAACCACTGCCAACTAGACACCGTCTGTCAATGTCGTAACTTTGAAACTTTAGCAACCCTCCCCTGTATGTGGGACAAGAGCTCACCACAACAGTCCAAATGCCAGCAACGACCGATGTGGTCATTAGCTCATGCAACTCTCGACTCCGGTCATAACGGCCTATGGACGTCACCACTGCTCAGCACTATGGTTCATATGTCAACATCGACCTACACGGTCATCAGCTCATACAATTCCGGACTCTGGCCTCAGCGGTCTACAAACGTCGTCAATACTCGTCTCAACAACCTACGTGGTCATCAGCTCTTACAGTTCCTGAATCCGGCCCCAGGGACCTACGGACGTCAACAATATTCGCCCCAACGACCAACTTGGTCATCAGCTCATGCAGTTCCCGACTCCGGCCCTCGAACATCATTAATACTCACCAATTACAGTCTACGTGATTCACTGTTCCTGCAACTACTTACTACGACTTTTATGACCAATTAACGCTTCTGGAGCAACCATCTACCACACTCACAATGAACTACTACCTCCACAACAATCAAAAATAAAGCTTGCAACTTGTCACCAAGAACTGCAACAAGATTATAGTTATGCAACTTTGAATTATATCTTCCGTAATTTAAGTGAAGAATGAACGTGTACTCATCATTTATAGTGGATTATTTCAACTGGGCTAGACCCCGTGATTTTTCCCCCTTTCAAGAGTTTTCCACGTAAAAAGTCGAGGTGTCTCATCCTGCTTACCTCTTTTCTATTATCTATGTGTGTTGAATTCCCGCGCAATGCTAAGACGATAATCCACTACTCTACCGTCATGAATTTTCTGGCACGCATCAAAAATAAAAATAAATATGATCCCAAATGATCTCTAAATTAAATAAATTAGAGGTTGGAACGACACAAAATCATTTACTTGTCTTAACAAATTACTTATAAGTGATTCAAATGATATTTTTATATAATAATCATTTGACTAAGATTGATTGTGAATAGTAAACACCTTCAATCATATATTATTTGTCAATGATATAATAATTAGTGTCGAATTCATAATATATTGACTGAAAATAAAATAAAAAATCATTAAGAGTTGGATTTGAGTGCTCAAGTTAATAGAAAAATAAAAAATAAATGACTTAACAACAATCACATCATAGAAAAGCCTCCTCAAAGCACTCTAAGTGAGGGGAGAATACATTAAGTATTTTTAAGAGGAGTGCTACACTCTTCTTTTATATGTAAGTCATTCAATATAATATTCAAAGTCAACATACATTGTTAAGAGAATGAAATTCCATGAATTCACAATTTCATTTAGGTGTCAATGTAAACTAAATGCATATGTTTCTAAAAATATGAGATTTGATTGGAAGAAAATGAAATGTACGTTAAAAATTGAGTGAATGCAACATCATCATAAAGTTAAAAAATAACGTATTCAAAATGTCATGACCCGACCAGAGACTTGAAATTAACCAAGACAGTCAATCAGTGACAATTGGTCGCTGGTCTTTATGATTGATTGAAAAATATTAAACATAAATTTTTTTAAAAATATATGTTTAGACATAAATGACAAGTGTAACAAAAACAAATAAAAGTAAATGAAAATACCACCTTTTTTTATTTACGTCTTATTTATATAACATTTATTTATAGAACATTTTTAAATACACTATAAATTTTAAGTCTTTATTTTATGAATACGACGAGTAACCAAACAATTTTAATTTTTTTTTTTAATATAACAGACTTGTAATTTTAATGAAGCTAAAACCAATTGATACTCTCTATCTTTTGCATTTAAATATTGTCAAGTTTGTGTACAACTTGCTAAATAACTCTATTAGAATCTCTAGATAAATAAGCAAGCCAAACACATTCTTTTTAACCTTGCATTATCAACGAGAAGTAGGCCAATAAATTGTTCAATTGTGTTTGATTAATTTTAGCTCAAAATAGAACAATATATATATATTATTTATATAATAATATACTATATTTAATCATATCTAAAATTAAATCACCATAGCTTGTTCGACCATCTAATTTTACATCTTTTATCACATGCAAATCATGCATATTTGAATTCAACACCCTATATTTATTTTTTTAATTAATTAAGAGCAATTTCAAACACGAGCTAACCTGAAGCAAAATTAATTTCTAACAAGCCGAGCCTCTGAGAGAATTCTCCAGGGTGGAATAGGCTGTAGAAGAGGATATCATAGAATCCATGTGGAACCGAACTAAAGCAATGCATAAACGAGCCCAAAACTAAATCAATCGGCCCAGCATATTTTAAGTTGGAACTTTACGCATAATATTGAATATTATTTTAAAAGCCTAAATTTTAAATCAGTCCAGTTAATGAAAGATTTAAAATGGACCAAATTATATATAAACGAACTTACAAAATTCTTAAAACAAGATTAAATCATAACGAACCAAATTGTAATATGCTGCAAATTAAATTATAGGAAGGGGTTGTTTACATGCACTCTTTTATCTTTTTACATGTTGAACATCCAAAGACTGAAGTATTCAAACTAAAAATATTTGAAAAAAAAACTCGGAAATTATCCAAACTCTAATTTCGAAGAACTTATAATCAAAATAACATCTTGATAAATCAAAGCCTAACAAGATCATGAAGTCTATGATGTTAGCCAAGGCTACATTTAAGAGGAAAATCGGCCTACAAATTTTGCACAAATCTGCAATTCATGGAAAACTATATTTCATAATCGAAGGTACAACATGATGACAATGAAACCCTAAATAAAGCCGAATTGGCGTCAAATAAATCGCGAGACTACAAAATCTTAATTAACTCTTTATAAAAAAAAAATTGAAAAGCATAACCATCAATGTTAATGCATCAAAGTTCTGCTTCGCGTTGAAGATTTTTGGGATGTGGATATAATTCTCACAAACCTACTCTATAAATTTATTTCTTGCATGTTTCATGCATCCTTACAAACTCGACCTTCAAAAATTTATTACTCGATACTCAATGCTGCCCATCAAACCCCTACAAATTTATTGCCTACCACTTTAGAGAATTAAAACAGAAGATGATTAGCACTAGAACTTGGATAAATTACTAATTCTTCTTTTCATTTTGCAAAATCCAGCACTAGAAGTGGGAGATGTGGCTAAGAGCAATAAAGATTGGCATATAACTTCGTAGATATATAAAATGATAACACCCACAAATGTCCGAATGACAATCTGGATGCGGCCAAACCATCATGCATCACATGTCGGCCCATCCGGATTGTACACTATATTTTCTCAATGAGGTGAGGGAATAAGTAAAAAAAATTGAAATTATTCGCTAAGTTCGTCTCCCAACAAATGGAAATTTACATCTATATGACAGCTAAGCATAAGTGGATCTCATCGAAGGACATGAGTTGATTATCATTACTCTTAACTATATGCCTTTTCCAACATATGTTATCACCTACTCATTTATAAAGCCTTAGTTTTTGTCCAATAGCATTGCTCCACATACAAAAAATGCACATTTGCAGGCTACAAAGCAAATGTGCTAATAATAACACTCTAATTCTTAAAAAAAATCATTACCTGTATGAGCTCCTGATTTCATGCCACAAACAAAGCATAGTATCAGATGTATCCTCATCCCAGCAGTCCCTACTGCTCCTTGAAAGAGATAATATGGATTTCAACCATTCTTCATGAAGAGTAGAGAATTCCGATCTCCGTTCACTCGACTTGAAATTGCCGCTGATCATAAGTTTCATTCGTTCGCCAGCAGTCGATGCAGCGTCGACGACAGATTTTGGAATCCCGGCTATGAGAGCGGCCTGCAGGCCATAGCTCTCGGGACAGGATCCTGAAGCGAGGCGGTAGAGAAAGACCAACTCTTGTTCGCCATTGATTTTCTGGTCGAAAGTGCAGGCCATGTGTTGCAGGTTGACGCGAGGATGTGAAGCGAATTCTTTTGTTAAGGGATGATAATGAGTGGCAAAGAGCAACCGGCAGCGAATGCTTTCCACCAGGTGGCGAAATACCTGGTCAATATTTATCCAAAGCATTTAGGAAAGTGATATGATATTACTCTTCTATTGACATATCTAACATCTAAACTTCAGTTTTTATATATAAGCCACCCTATCTATGCAAGAAAAGGTGTATTTCACTTTTTAAAAGTTAAATTAATGATATTTTTGAAGTGATATCAAAGTTTTTGATGGTACAAATGTAAAAAGTTTAGGTCTAAAATTTGTAAAATACATAGTATTGTGGTATGTATGTAAATGCCCCATGATATTAACATATGATTAGTTCTTGTATTAGGTTAAGAAGAAATTAGTGTTAATGAGATTCTTGCATTTCTGCAAAAAGATTCCATTTGGAGACATTAAAAAATAGAAAAAATAAAATAAGATTATCTTCTAATTGATGTTTTCTCCTCTAAATTATGGAGTTGCCTGCATTCTCAAATTGTTGTTTTATTAAGATTCAAGCAACTATATCGTATAAAAAAGACAAGACACATTTAAATAGGATGGAGGTTTAGAAAAAAATAATGGACTCTAAGGCAAGGCAGAACAAAATTGAGAGGCCCCCGAGGAGACTCACGCACAGACAAACCTCTAGCCTTTTGATATGCTCGCCCCAGCACTAGCCAACGACCCCTTCTGCACCAACGGGCCGCCAGTCACCTCGCTTGCTCACCCAGACACACATAGATCCCTGTCTCGTAGTTTGAGTCACCTGTCGGATCGACCATAACCACTCGAGAGGGTTGTTTCTGTCATATCTATTATTTTTATCTTTTGTTTCTGCACTACAAATTGATACTCTATCGTTATATATGTTGTGTTACTGTTGTTATCATGTCGTCCTTGTATCCCTTAGAAAGTCAACAATAAAATGTGTGTTGCTTGTGTCATGATTTGGTATTATTTGATATCAGAACTAGGCCAACCCTAGTCCTAATTTATGGTTCCCTCAATACGCCCACCCATGCCACCCAAATCTTTTTTCTTTCTCGGTCTTTTTTTTCCCCTTTTTCTTGTCTTCTCCTTCTCTTTTCTCTCGTCTCTTTACATTTTCACACCGAGACATGTCGCTGCATCGTTAAGTGCCAAACCCAATCCGAGAAGAAATACAATGAGAAATTCATTGACTGCAACAACTGGCTAAGATGAACGATGAGACGCAAGGCGACATCACCCTCTACCACGACCTCGAGGGTCAAAAAGAGGAGACCGCGACGACTATCTGAATCTGTTTCAACACAAGCAGGTCTGCAACGATAAATATCGCCCACGCCGCTTCGGCATTCACTATCAAAAATGACCATGAGAGGAGCCCTTGTTCGGCACCAACCAAGACTATGACATCAAAACGGACCTACCAAAGTTTGAAGGAAACATGTATCCCGACAACTTCATTGACTGGTTGCAAGCGGTCGACTGCATCTTTGAAAACAATGAGGTACCCGACGATAAACAAGTTAAACTAGTTGTTATCAAATTAAATTAAAACGTATCAATACAATGGGACAATCTGCGGCCATAGTGCAAACGAGACAGCAGCGACAAAAACAACCAGTGGGCAAAAATTAAAAAAGCTATGCAGAAGTACCCGCCACCCCACTACCGCCAGGAAATGCTCCATGGGCTCCACAACCTACAACAGCAAGATCTTTCGGTCAAGGAGTTCACGATGAAGTTTGACTAATCCCAAATAAAATGTAAATTAATCGAGCAAGAGGAGCACATGATTGCTAGCTATCTGAGGGACCTAAAACACGCCATTAGCAACATCGTTTAACTACAACCCTACTGGTCGCTGAGAAATGTCTAGACACTAGCATTAAAGATAGAACAACAACAAAAGCAAGCCAGGTCATAGTCATCCTTCCAACAACAGTCAACCTTCAAGCTATCACCTACAGCCATGCCTACGGACAAGACCACTTCCGGAGCTGGCAAGTCACTATCGGGAAGCAAGAAGACCAACCTAAACGACAAGAAGACAGAAAATGGTAGTTCATCTGAGAATGTTCCCGTACAAAAATATTTTAGAAGCCACGGTTACGACCATATCGCCACCACAAACAGAGTCATCTCGTTCACTGAAGAAGGCACCATCGAAGAAGTAGAGGAAGATGAGTCGAAGGGTAGTTCAGATGAAGCACTTCAACTTCCAGGAGACGAAGACCAAATGTTGGTTATACGGAGAGTCCTACAATCAAAACCAAAACGAGAACCATCATGGCTACAACACAACATCTTCCGCACCACATGCGCGATAAAAGACACAATCTACAGTTTGTTCATCGACATGTCCATGCTAATACTCAAAAAACTGGGATTAGCCACACAAAAACATCTGCGATCCTATTCTCACCAGGTTGAAAAGGTGGAACAAAACATGTGTCGATCAACATTGCTTATTCAAATTCTCAATCGACAATCAGTTATAGAAGCAACTTTGGTGTGATGTGATCCTGATGGACGCATGTCACATCCTGCATGGAAGATCATGGCAGTTCGATCGAAAAACTCAGCACGACGGCTTCAAGAACACACAAACATTTAAAAAGAATGGGACGCACGTGATGTTATTACTTGTCATGAATGTGAGAAGCTTCATTGACACAGAGAATTCATTAGTCTCACGAGTCACCTTCCTACAGTCAGTTCAAGACGCGCCAATGGCCCTTGCATTAATCCTCCTAGAAGGGGCCAACGCAAAGAGTGAGAAACCAACATGTTCGCAACCGCTTTTACATGACTTTAAGGACATAATGATTGACAACCTTTAAAACAAATTATCACTACTAAGGGAAATCCAACACGCCATAAATCTCATACCAGGATTGGTGTTACCAAATCGCCCTGCCTACAGATTGTGACTAGCATAACACGAGCTCCAAGGGCAGGTGCAAGGTCTTGTTGCATAAGGATTAGTCCGAAAAAACAGCAGTTCATGTGTTGTCCCCGCCCTTATAGTACCCAAGAAAGACGGTTCATTGTGGATGTGCATTGACAACGGTGCCATTAATAAAATTACCATAAAAAACTGGTTTCCCATAACATGCCTCGATGATCTCTTAGATCAAATACAGAGCCACTGTCTTCTAAAATCGACATGCACGGTGGATATCATTTGATAAGAATGTGACCAGGAGACGAGGGGAAAGACTGTCTTCAAGATGTGAGATGGTCTCTACAAACGGACAATTATGTCTTTCGACCAGTCAAACGCACCTAGTACTTTCATGCGGCTGATGAATCAAGTGTTTCGAGCCACATAGAGAAATTCATTGTGGTTTACCTCGACGATATTCTAGTTTATGGTAAATCAAAAGAGGTCCGCCTGCAACATCTTTGGGCGACATTCAAGGTCTTATGAACTGAACAACCGTACATCCATCCCAAAAAATGTCACTTCAACACAAACCAAATATGTTTTTAAGGCTACATTGTGTCTACCACAGGCATTCAAATGGACCTAAAGAAAATAAGTCAATAGTGAGTTGGACTGCGCCACAATCTTTCACTGAGCTACGATGATTTTGGGTCTATCCTCCATCTACCGAAGATTTGTCTGAAACTTCAACACCACCACCGCCCCCTCCCAGAACTGTTGAAACAAAAAAAATTCACTTCGACGTCCACAACCTACACTAGCTTTGGCACATTAAATGAGGTGCTCAAGCACCAGTTCAAGCTTTACTGGATTTCAACCAACCATTCGAGATTGAGTGAAACGCCTCCAGTGTGGGCATTAAAGTTGCGCTCTATCAAGGTCACCCCATCGCCTATTTTTAATGAAAAACCAAGTGATACACGAAGAAAATATTCTACCTACGACAAGGAGTTTTATGTCATTATCATAGCCCCGGAGCACTCATGCCATTACCTACTTACAAACGAGTTCACCCTCTTCACTGACCATGAAGCTTTAAATTTCTTAAACAGTTAGAGCAAAGTAAAATGACAACATGCTAGTTGGGTGGAATTCTTAGCTTTATTTTAGTTTGTGCTCGAACACAAAGCCAGGAGTCAAAACTGCATCACGGACGCGCTAAGCCGTCATCACCTACTGACCACATCCATGCAGGCTTACATTGTAGGCTTTAAAATTATCAATGACTTATACGAGACAGATGAAGACTACTAGGATATCTAAGAATAGTGTTGAGTGAAACCTAACGTGCAATATTACCAAACGGATGGCTACTTGTTCCACCAAAATAAATTATACATTCCATAATGCTCACTGCGAGAGGCCAAGAAGAATCATAATAGCAAATTGGCAAACCATTTTGGCAGGTATAAAACTCGCACTCGTGAGAAACACTTTTTTTGGCATCAACTAACGAGAGATATGTAGCCACACGTCTATCGCCAAAACCTGAGGACAAAATGCGGGATTGTACATGCCTTTACCAGTACTTGGGACAACATAGATCAATGTCAGCACGTACTTTGTGGTAGCACTCCCACGCACACAAAAGAATAAGGATTCTGTTATGGTACTAGTTGACCATTTTTCAAAGATGCATTTCGTGGCCTGCCATCAGATGCCAGACGCATCTCACACTGTTGATTCGTACTTCAACAAGATCTTGCGACTTCACTGCATTCTCAAGACCATTTATGACTGGATGTCAAATTTCTGACCCAATTCTAGCGAACTCATTGGGGAAAATTTGGCACTGAACTTCAATTCAGTTCTGCAGCACATCCTCAAACAAATGGTCAGACTGAAGTAGTTAATAGGAGCCTTGGAAATCTTCTACGATGCTTTGTGGGGAGAAACATCAAACAAAAGGATCTAATTCTTGCCCAGGCCGAATTCTTTTACAACTAATCAACGAGTCGTACCACAGGATGCACTCCCTTGGAAATTGTATTGACACAACCTACTCACACCCTTTGAGTTGGTCTCACTTCTACCCACACCAGAGATCAGTGAGGATGCTACCGAACGTGTTCATTAGATTCAACAACTCCACGAGGAAGTGGGGAAAACAATTACAAAACAGAGCCATAGTATCAAACACAAGTAAACAAGTCCCAGAAAAAAATGTAACATTTCAAGGAGGAGACCTCGAATGGATTCGACTAAAGAAGAAGAGATTTCCCGTAAAAGCTTACAACAAACTCAGGCCCCAAGTTGATGGACCTTTCCCATTCTTAAGAAAATGAACAACACCACCTACAAAATTGACCTACTCCAAAGATTCTGAAGATTCTACGAATAAGGTCAAAACTTCCCCCAACTCTGGGACTGGCGCAGGGGCTATATGGGTCGGCTGGTGCATACCGGTCTAGCCTACCTTCTGGACTATACCATCTTGACTGACCCAGTGAGTTTCTGATCCTCATCTCATGTTGAAATTCTTCCCCAACCAAATCCTCTCCTTCCTACTGGACTGAATTTCAAATTCTTACCTATTCCTTCCACTATCTTTTAATTCTTACTATTTCTCTGGCTGCCTATCTCAAGTCCTACTTCCATCTATTTATATTTATGGTGTACTGATCACAAAATAGTATTTAACCTTTTAAATTCCAGGTGTCCTCCAGGCGATTCCTCTTCAAGGTTTGTATCCGACGATGAGCGGTGCCACAACAATACTTCGCCCAAAGTAATGGGTATCTCCCTTTAGTTCCTTCCTTCCATATCAGTCACCATCGCCTTTCTCTTCACAAAGAGGCCGCTAGTCCCACCCCTTCTCGCCTCAGCCGACCGTAGCTCCTGCCAGCGTCACGGACAAGCCACCCAGCCCCTTTTTTGCTCGCCCTGTTGCTCGTCGATCCCTTCTGTAGTTCCTGCACAGACAACCCACTGGCCTTCGGATATGCTCGTCCCATCTCCCGCACAGACCCCTTCTGCACCAACGGGCCGCAAGTCACCTCCCATGGTAGCCCAGACACCCGCAACTACATGTCTAAAACCTCCACCTTCCCGTGCATCTATCCTGCGCTTCCCGTGGACTTGTCGGATCCTGGCATCACCTTCTCGTGCATCTATCCTGTCGTCATTGTATCCCTTTCAAAGTTAGTAATAAAAGGTGTTGATTGTGTCATGGTTTAGGTAAACTTCAGTATCACTGAAAAGCTACAGGTCCTCATATTTCCTACCATACATGATTGTTCGCTTTCGATCGGCCAAAAGGTTCTTTGACCGGTCGGCCTTGAGTTCTCTGACTGAACATTAGCATTTGATTTTAGTCCGCCAACTTGCTTCAAAATCCGTGTAGATCATTTTTGGGTGTACAATAATATTCAAGAACATGAATATTTTTTACATATGAGCTAAGTTATGGTACTTTTTTCAGAAAAGAAATACGTCCAATTACAAAATGGTTAGCTGCAGTTTTATCCAAGGTTTTAAAATTCGATTTCGGTTTCAATCCCAAATAAGACTTTTGCTTCAATAGTAGACAGATTCTGTATTTTTTTTTAATATTAAAATATTACAAAGAACATATATAAAATGCCAAGAAAAGGAAATTATCGAAATAGTGCTTAAGTTATATAGCACATAAAATTCAATATGATCATAACCATAGAACCACAAAAGAACTTTGGCAATTAAGTTTTAGTATAGTTTAAAAAAATAATAATAAATTTCAAGCGAAACATTTAAGATTTACGCTGATGACTGAAACTTTAAGATTTACACAATTCTTATGTATTTAATTATCTAATACCCAAATTTTGATATTTAGACTTTTAACACCATGGTGTCATGAAAAAGGTATATTTCTTTTTTGAAAAAGTAGCGATGGTAGTATTTTTTTTTATGTGAAGGTAAAAAATTTGAGTGGTGCGCAAGTAAATATGAATATTTAAGTGTTAGAAATGTAAATATAAAAGAATTGTGTTGTCTGTATGTCAATGCCACCCAAAAAAAATCCAACATGATGAAATGAGGGGAAAGGGGAACTCACAGCATAGGCAATTGCATATCCATCAAAGGTGCTAGTCCCTCTACCAAGCTCATCAAGCAGTACAAGAGAATCTTGAGTTGCATTTCGAAGAACTGATGCTGTTTCTGAGCATTCAACAAAAAAGGTGCCTACCCCAAAAAGAAAAGAAAAGAACTCATGTAAGAGTAACATTTTCTTTTTTTCTTTTTTAATCCGGAAAATCACAAACGAGCAAGTTGATCAGGTGATAAATATAATAATTTCTTAATACAATTTCTACCAAAAATGGAATAAATTTACGTGACAAAGGTGGCAATGAAATTATCATAAACATTCCAGGGTAACCACTGTTTTCTAGGGATATGAGCGTAACATATAAACAACGCACTTCTTGCTTGTCTTCAGCGCCCAAAGTCCATTATGAATTTAACGATCCACTACTTTTCGATGTTCTACCTAAAATAATGTCACTCTACTCCTCTATCCTAATTTTTCTTTCATTTGTATTTTTTTTTTTTTAACATTTACATGCACTCGAGTTAATTCTTATGTATTTACATATCTAACACCTAAACTTCATTTTCTTACATATAGACCACCTTGCCTGTGCATGAAAAGGTGTAATCCACTTATTAAAAGTTAAGATGGTGGTATTTTCTATGTGATATACAATATTTAAGTGGTATAAATGTAAAAAAATCTAAGTATAAATGCTAGATGTATATTAAATAGGAATTGGGCGGAATGTACGTAAATGACCCTACTAATAATAATTAAGATACGAGGAACACTCACTTTCACCTGACATTATCCTGTCAGTTGCACCAAGCCGTGTAAAGATAACATCTGCAGGGGTAAGCATGCACTTATCAGCAGGCACATAGCATCCCAACTGCATCAAAATGACAAAAAAAAAGGGCTTTTACAACTTCAACGTAACAATCAGAAGAAAACCATCAAAATCAATCAACTTCATAAAACTCGAAGAAGACCTGAGCGAGTATCACCGCAAGGCATGTTGCACGCAGAAGGGTCGATTTTCCGCCCATATTTGGCCCAGTCAGCAATAACGCACATGGTTGTTGCTCAGAGCCTTCACCGAGATTAATGTCATTGGGAACTTGGCCATTCTCATTATTTCCAACAGCATAAGGATGCCATAAACCTTTAATACAAAGCATGGATCCACCACTTCCCTGGCGTGAACTATTGGAACTTTTTGTTGGCATGAAAACAGGCCTACACATAGAACCAGCCGATGTGATCGCACTTGCTGCAAAAGACTGTAATACATCAATGCGGTTGACCGTATGGATGACTTGAGACCAATCTGCTGCCTTTCCAACAAACTTTTCAATTAGAACAGACAATGTTTCACCATCCGACTCTTTCGCATCATGGTCCTGTTATGGTTCGGATAGCAAATTTCAGCTCAAGGTATGGGTTTGAACTACATTGCTGCAGAAACATTTAAGTTTGGCAAAAATCAAAGGGGCATTTACATACATAGCACCCAATTCCCATGTACTTGCATATCTGATGCCTAAACTCTACTTTGTACATTTATATCACCAAATCTCTCACATCACATCAACAATACCACTTTTTGAACTTCTAAAAGGTAAAATGCACCTTTTCATGCATTGGTAAGGTGGCATGTATGTAAAAATTAAAGTTTAAATGTTAGATATGTAATTAGATAGGAATCATGTGGTAGGTACGTAAATCTTCCAAAATCATAAACATATTTGGATTTAGAGTATTTATTTAGAGGTGCATGGTAGACTTCGCCTTATAAAATAGCAGCCCATATTATCTTAAAGAAGTAATTGCTATGAAAAGAAAACTTGTTTATTGATTAATGACTTAGGCTCTTATAGAGCCTATACATTCCTGCACACAAATCCGTTTGACCTTTATATATTCCCCCTATTACTCAATAGAACTCTAAACTATATGCAATTCTCAACACTCCCCCTCGAGGTGGGCCAAAGATATCCACTAAACCCATTTTATTACACAAACTAGACAGATCTAATGAGCTAAGTTCTTGAAGAGGCGGTCAACTACTTCCTCTCTAATAGCTACATGACTTGTCTCCAGTAATCCACTATTCAGCTTCTCCTTGATGAAGAACCTATCAATCTATGCTTGGTTCTTTCATGCTGCACCGGATTGTTGGCAATGTTGATTGCTGACTTGTTGCACCACAACTTCATTTGTGCTCTTTGGTCCACCTTGAGCTCTACCAATAGAGCTCTCAACCATAATATTTTGGCAACTCCCAAGGATATGACTCTGTACTCTACCTCTGCCATCAACCTCACAATTAACGGCTACTTCTTGCTCTTCCAAGTGACCAAATTTTCTCATACAAAGATGTAGTATCCTGATGTGGACCTCCTATCATCAGCACAGCTAGCCCAATCAAAGTCATAATAGACCACAATGCCTAAATGCATATTTTTTCCTGAAGATCAACCCCTTCCCTATTACACTCTTTAAGCATCGTAAAATCTAATAAATCGCATTCATGTGACCCTCAAATCATGCATGTAGCGACTCACCATGCTTACTGCAAATGATATGTCGGGACGAGTGTGACTCAGATAGATGAGATGACATACCAACCTCTGGTACCTCTCACGATCAACTAGCTCTCTCGCCCTGTGCTCAACATTCCCTTCTGATCAATTGGTGAAACTGCAGGCTTGCATCCCATCATGTCTGAGTCTGTGAACAAATCTAGCACATACTTCCTTTGAGATAGACAATTCCCCTTTGCTCCATGAATCATCTCAATCCCAAGGAAGTATCTAAGTTGTCCTAGGTCATTTACCTCGATCTCTTTGCCCAAACTTGTCTTTAGTTGAGAAATCTCTCTCTCATCATCACCGAGGACAATCATATCATCCACATACACAGCAATAATAGCAATGTAACCACCACATCGTCGAAAGAACATTGTGTGGTCGACATTGATCTGCTAATAGCACATGCCTACCATATCTCTCTTGAACCTGTCAAACCAAACTCGAGAAGATTGTTTCAAATTGTACGATGACTTCCACAGCCAGCATACCTTGTCCGCTATTTAGTTTGTGATGAAGCCTGAGGGTATCTCCAAGTACACCTCTAGCAAATTCCTATGAAGAAACACATTGTTCACATCTAGTTAGTGTAAACTTCATCCACCATTCACATCCAGAGAGACGAGTGTACCAACTATGCCCATCTTTTTCACTAGTGCAAATGTTTCATCATAGTCGATGTCATACATCTGATTATACCCTTTCGCCACCAACCATGTTTTGTAGTGATCAATCTTTTTTTCTAAGGTCTGTTTGACTGTGAAGATCCATTTGCACTCGACTGCCTTTTTCTCTGCTAGTAGTAACACGAGGTCAAGCGGACCTTAACGAGATCACCAAGTTCCTCCAACATGACAACCTTCCAATTTGGATCCTAAAACACCTGGGTATAGAGACAGTGTTTAAAGATATAATGAAAGCTCCGGTAAAGTTGATATATTATAGTATGAGACCAACTAGGCAATGTCATATGAGAAACCAAAACGATTAGGAGAATAACAATCAGAAGAATGACCCGTAATGTTGTGAGAGGTCCTCAAAATTAGAATGGGAAGAGAACGGAGATGAATCATATCACTTGTGTAATCAAAATTCGAGGCGAACGGTGAGATGTCTCGCGAGTTAGGGTAGACCAAGATAAGAGACTTGATGGCACGAGTGGCACGGCAGGCACTGTTCCATTATTATGTCTCCTCGTACACTCTCAGCTCCCCTTGAGCTTGAATCCCACCACCTTCGTGCTCATTTTTCGACTCTTTCTTAACTAATCCTTCCCACGCAACGAGACAAGGCATTGTTCTCACGTGTACCCATCTCTCGCAATTACAACTCACCCCCATCTCGCCTCATACATCCAATATTCAGAGAATCACCTCCAAGGTGTGGTACGATTCGAATTCTCTAAAAATTATATCCATAATCACAAACGGTCAATTATCTCTTGGGTTCCAGCAAACATATCCCTTCTAGGTGGCAGAATAACTCATAAAAATACACTTCACGCTTCTAAGTTCAGCTTCTCTATTGATGGTCTATTATCCTACAAAAAACATACACAACCAAATACCTTCAATGGGAGAATCATACACTTCACGCTTCTAAGTTCAGCTTCTCTATTGATGGTCTATTATCCTACAAAAAACATACACAATCAAATACCTTCAATGGGAGAATCACGTCATTATCTCCTGTTAAGAACTCATAAGAAGATTGTCACTCCAACACACTTGAGGGCAATTTGTTGATTAATTGAGTGGTTGTCAAAATAGCTTGCCCCACAAGTGTTTTAAGACGTTTATCGAGATCATGCTTTGGGCTACCTCTTGAATGTGTCTATTCTTCTCTCTACTACTCTGTCTTGTGTCGATGAGTATGGACATGTGATTTGATGTTGTATCCCTTGGATTAACAAGTACTCCTCAATACCTTTACTACCGCACGACATTGAGATAAAACCAAATAATAAGAGAAAAATTATCAATAAAAATCACAAAATATCTGTAACTATTTATTAAAGTTTTAGAACAAGGTCCCCATACATCTAAATACACTAAATTAAAAAAAAAGAATTTATATTGCCAGAATTAACAAAAGAGCTCCGGATATGCTTACAAACTCACAAACATCACACAAGTTTTTATTTATTTGTCTTTTCATGCAAAGAAGAATACAAACAACTTAATAGACTAAAAGAAGAGTAGCTCATGTGTTTTTGATGTAGCAACAACACAACATCTACACTCCTAACACTTCAACACTCTCTACCATGAATGTCAAGGCTTAGTTCATCCCCACTCTATCTAAATGCCAAAGTCCACTATGCCACGTGTACTTTGAGTTTAATAAAACCAATGAATAAAAAAGTTTACTGAAAAGAAAGGAGCATGCAAAATATTGAACATAATCATAGAATTGGTATACCTCACTATACCCTTACCAACTACAAGTTGAGTTACACCATTAACAGTTTGAATGCTCTCTGGAACTGCTAGTTGAGTATAAAAAAATAACTCATTAGCAATACCTGTCACACGTCGAGGTGCACCAAAATCTACTATTAATTCTGGTGATCTTGCAGTGGATGTAGAAGCAAGAGCATGTATAGCACAATTACATTTGGGTGATGGAACACAAGTAACAGTCTTTTCCTTGGATGATGATAAGGTGGATGCATCATCAATCGCATCACATGTCGCTCTCTTCTTCCTCTTCATCTCCAGGGACTTGTGATCCTCATCGATAAAGGCCACATTTATTTCTCCCTCGTCCTCCGCATCTATCAGATTCGGTTGGCAGCCCTCTTTTCCACCCATTTGGCCCCCCACAACTATGACCACAAACATTATGTTGTCCACGTCAACTCGTCTTTTTCTCATTGGATGGCTTTGGACAAGCCCTGTCCATGTGTCCGACTTCTCTACAGCTATAGCACCTGCAGGTCCCCCTTTAGGCACCTGTCATACATGAGCTCGAGGCAGCCAAAGCTAAAAGTCCACTCGGTTCAGAGTGTAGCATCATATGACTCTCCTCATGTATCATCACGGTTATGGCCTCATCCAGTGAAGGAATCGTTGCTTGGGCTAGGGGGTCCGATCTCCTCTGATCAAAGGTCAGGATCAGATGAGCTAGAAATTGCATAGTCCGCATTCATGCAAAATTCTTGCACTCTCGAGCATCATAGCTCAATATAGGTGAGCAGTGATCAAAATCTTGTCACAGTCGCTTTATCTATATGAAGTGATTCTGTATTGATCTATTACTCCGTACCACTGTCTCTATGTCACGCTGTATCTGGAACACGTTCATGTGATTCTCAGTCCCGACATAGGTCCTCTTCAGCTTTGCTCAAATGTCCTTCACTTTCCGAATGTCATCCACTAATGAGAAGCCAAGTGTAAACTAAGGCATGTGTGGTACTCTACTCATCCCCTTCAACACTATAACCATCTAACTCAAGCCTTGCCTCCCGTCAGATAACCCTTTACTCTCTTCCTACTAGAGTGCCTCGATCTGACGTGACCAGCTCATATATGATATCGATCCGTCAAGCTTCGGATCCACACGAGAGAGATCTAGCTTCACTTGCATCGGAGCACATGCAGAGGAAGTGGCTCCCACCAAGATGCTAGCTCACTATATGAGCTTTGCCTCCCACACTATTTCTATTTCCTGACATCCTTAAATTAACTATTCCTCACCATTCATCGTCCTCTCACGCATGCAGAACCAAAGTACTCTTCACTACTCTGGTTTCAAGCGTGCTTCACCCATGCACGACACCAAGCCACTCTAACTACTCTGCCATGATCCATCAGTCAAAGGTATCATCTCGTCTTTTCGATCAATCTTCCCTCCTGTGGTTTGCCCTAGGGCACACCAGAGGGCATCTTCAACTTCCCAGCTCGCCACAATCGTGACTATATTGCGAGTGTCTGTCACGCAAGTGCCACAATCAATCACATAGCATTTTGTTCCTTTCCCATATAGCTTCATGATACAGTCGTGGCATCCTTAGCTCTAATTGCGACTGTATCTGATGTTTCACATCGCGATCACATCGTTGTCGTCCCAGTTAGCTATAATTGTGACAGTATCTGAGGTTTCACATCACGATCCCATTGTTACCGTCCCAGTTAGCTCTAGATGCGGCTGCTTCGTGAGAACGAAACAGAAGGAAGAGGAAAAATGAGAGTTTCAGGTCTCTGTACGTCGATCCCAACAGAAACTGATTAAATCGAGCAACCCCAACGATGACTAGGGTTGGTTCACTAATACCATAAAGAAGTAATTGCTCTGAAAGAAAATTTCTTTATTGATTAATGCCGGACTTTTATAGAGTCGGTACATTCTTGCACACAAGTCCCTAAATATTCCCTATTACCTAATAGAACCCTAAACTATATACAATTCTCAAAAGAGAATATGCTATGTAAAGGGAACAACAACAAACTTGACACATATTCAACACATGACATCAAATACTAGGTTATATGAGTGACATAAATGAGGAAGCTATAATCAAAAGTTCTCAAATTTAAAATTTTTGTTTTATTTTTGAATTTCTTCGCGCATTAAAAAAAAAGTGTTTATTTTTTAAAAATAAATATGATGCCTACTATATTATTAAAATGTGAGTATGCTTAGAAAATCATGTGTGAGAAAAAAAAATTAAGCAAGTACAATGAATGAAAATGACAACTCATAAGCACAACTCGAGGTCGAGATGCATCTGCCAAGCAAGATCAGCTAATCATTGATCACCGCACCAACATAGTTCACTAACAAGTTTGAAATGCTAAAATTGCCCAAGAAAAGACATCCATTTTGTCTAACATGTCACATGATGTAGAAGACAAAAAAATTGACCCAAAATCAATCAAAGTGTTGCTCATTTGCAGAAAAAATTCATCGATGCATTCCAAATGTCAAAATTCCCTCAATTGAGTCAATTGTCTTGAGAAGCGTTGAAATATTTCAATTTTATAAACTTTTACTTCAAAAATTCAATTCAAAATCATTAAAATATACAGGATCTCGACTAAGCCTCCTTATATACAAAAACAAGATCGTAAGTCCCAACTCAATAAACCCACCCCTCCACTTCATATGGACAGAGATTGACAAGACAACTTCTGCCTAACAGATTTCATACTCTTCCTGATAGAGATTGAAGTTGACAAGAGTAATGATGCTTCTATAAATGCTAACAATGAGATTCAATCAAATTACAAATACAAAATATTTCAAATAACATGGCCAGATAATGATCATGTTAAATATGAATCGCTATTTTCAATTAAGCTCTAAAGAATATTTGAAAAAACTCAAACAACACGAAATTATGAACTTGATCCTCTATAAGAAAGATAAAAGTGACAAAATTCAAAAACTATCCAACATTCTCCAATGATGGTCGTGTTGAAAGTGAATCGCAATGGGAGAGACCCACTCATAAAATCTAACTATTTAGATTATAAGTTCAATAATTCATATCTCCAATGATAGTAGTTTTGATTGAAGATCTCAATCGAGGAGTTCTTATTTTTAAAAAGTTTAAGAATTTTAACAAAATCATTTTAACTTTAAAACTTAAATATTCAAATGAAATTTAGTTAATTGGATTCATCATCATCCCCTCATACATCCACTTGAAGCTCAAATGATGAATTTCTAAAATTCTAAATCCTAATTATTGCGACTATAAACTAAAGAATTATTGCTTAATACCCGACCTTACCCGAAAGTATTCTAATATTAACAAAAAGGGTTATTAATCATGAGAGTTTGCACCTATGAGAAACATCCAACCTCACATCAAAGAAGTCCGTATAAAGTGAGGGTGAAATCTCTGTGTAGCATCTTATTCACAATCTAATATGTCTTCTAAAAATTTGACTCATAACACATAAACTTCATCACCCTTTTCAATCGAGGTCGTGGCGCGAACCTACAATACACTTTTGAGACGCCCTTTTACATGGGTGGATGCATTGTTTAATTTGAAAATTGCACCATAATTTTGTAGGGTAATATGACATGTGGAGCAATTAAATGTTGTTTGTGATAATGCTAAAGAGCTAAAAGCAAGGAATGCTTAGAATATCATAATTAGCTAATAATCTAAAGTAAACCACAAAACATGAACTAAACAGGCTATCCATAATGTAATATAAGTTTTTAACAGAAGTCCCATTTTTTTAATAAGATAATCAAACCAAATGCTTCCATCCATTTTAGCATGACATTGGCTATATGTAAGAAGAAGGGAAAACATATGCACGCAAACCTGGTAGCAGGGAAAAACTTCACTCATAGCTGCTTCAAACTGTTTAAGTAGCTCATCAAGTCCGCTCAGCAAATGTAGGTTCACAACCTTAGACAAGAAAGAAACTTTGTGCTCCTTCTGTAAGAGCATCAACAAATCCATCCCCATCCTAAGACCTTTTATAAGTAAACCAAATGTTTTGATCTGAAAGGGGAAAAATTATTCCGCATCATCACCTACCGTAACAAAAAGGTAGATTTAATGAAAAGAGATCTACAGTAACATGATGTTTTCCATGTGAACAATATAAATCAATCTCGAATGAAGCTCAGAAAATGTGAACTATTTGATTAACCATGAGTTAAGATCAAGAATGATGGTGTGAAAATTTAAGTGTAACAAGAACAGGGGCGAATATCACCCTGTTTTTTTGTCATGACCCATCCAAGCCTTAAGAAGTAAATCAAATATGAATTAAAGTTTAATTGCACAGATTTTCATTTTCACCCAAAAACTGCAACTAATTCTGAAACCTGAAAATGTGCAGGAGCCCACAAAACAAAACTACTTAAGCTGTTTTCTGCAGTCTCTAGAAAAGTTTCAAACGATAAAGACATAAAAATAAAGTGATTACAAGCAGATGCATCGTCGAATGGCTGAACTACAGGCAACAATCCAACCATTTAACCACGTGCACACAAATACAAAAAGCTTCCCTTATAGCCGAAGCATCCATAATAAACACAAAAACAGTTACCCATAGAGAGAGAGAGGTCCCCAGGTGAGCCAATAATATAAGCACATACCACGAACACATCATCCAAGAGAACACACGGAAAATGAAGTCACAATGTCATATTATCAAGTATAAAGACAGCAATTTGAAATATGACGGTCTCTATGTTCTTTACATCGCAAGAGAAAGTATCTAATTTGCTTAAGACATGCTTCTTGCACATTAATATACTAATTCTAATTTCAAAGAAATAGATGCTGCATCCAAAAGCCAATATGCCAAGAAAATTCAAAATTGTCCAAATAATGCATTTCTAGGTTACTGAAAAAAATAATGAATCCTGACATTCCAACTAGATCATATATATTTATAATCATTGATTACAAAATTGAAGAAGAATATGGATTATAGCATCAGAAATAGAAAGCTTCTGCATCCAATAAAAAAGCATGCAGACTTACCTGCTGTTTCAACATCTTTGCACCAATCGAAGGCAGCAAAAGCAAATATGATGAACCAACTGAGGCATTGACACGGCCCAACAATCTATCAAGATCAGGTAGTTTACACAGATATTGGGATATAACAGCAATCACTTCTGGATTATTTATTAAACCCTCAACGACATTAAGCCTGTCATTAATATCATCAATTTGTTTTAGGGGATGGCAGATCCATCTCCTTAGAAGTCGTTTCCCAGAAGTAGTTCTGCAATGGTCAAGATGTTTATACAATGTTCCTATCATAATACAGAGAACTTATTAGAAATAATTAAAAAAAAAGAGTCACAGCAACAAGGAGACATCAATATGAGAGCAAGCATACAATCTATGGCAATAGAAAAGCTCAATACTTACCAGATAAGCCACCATCAAAATTATTCCCAAAAATTTCTAGATTCACAAGAGCTTGACCATCCAACCTGAGACAACCTTTGTACAGATGATAAGACAAAAGCTCACCATTGCATAAAGCATCATCTAGCTGGCAAACATTTTTAACTGAGCATTAGAGTAGCTTTAAGATGAATCTAAGTTTTTTAATGAATTGGACTATAATATCACAAGTTGATCATAGATGCAGTCTGTCATGAGTTAAAGCAATCTCGAGATGCAAGATTTAAAAAAACAGAAAAAAAATAAGGGAGGAAAAAAAGCAAGAGATTGCAGAGATACGTAAATAGATGGTCAGTGCAATCATAAAAACCACAAATTGTTATTACAAGCAAAATAAACAGGAGATTATTCACGCTTGTATAACTGCATGAAAATGCTCCATTGTTAATGCTAAAAACTAGAAAGAAAATAAAATGAGGGTATAAAAACTAGGGGTATTTCCCTAACACACAATTCTTATGAATTTATATATCCCACACCTAAACTTTCATATTTAGATACATAGCACTCAAATCTTTAACATCGCAACAAAAATAGTACTATTACCACTTTTCAAAAGTGAAATGCACTTTTTCATACAAATTAAAGTACGAAAGTGCTATGTATGTAACTATGAAAGTTTAGGTGTGAGATATGTAAATTCATAAGAATTGTTAGGTATGTAAATTTCTCTAATAACTATGAATAGAAAATTGGTGACAGAAAACAACTCTCCACTAACCTTTAAACGATTTACATGACCAATAAGTACACCAAGGGCAGACAAAACATGGTCATAGTGCATTTCATTCTCAATCACTGTAGTCCATGGATTAGGAGTTCCCCTAAAGTATCCATGGCTATTTATCCTTTTCTTAACTTCAATAGCATCCAAAAATTCTTGATCCGATACAATGGGAGTCATTTGCATAGTAATCGAACCTGCATCCAGATAAGGATTGAAATGCTTATTATAAGTCACAGAACAATTTAATTATTTCTATGATAACCAGCAACAAAATAATTTACTTGGTGCAAAGCCAATAAACCTTACTAGTTATTTGTTGGGGAAATATCAAACACACCCACAAATTTTGGTTATTTATAAAATAAGCAACCCAATCTGCTTCATTTTTCTCAAATTCCCGCATAAATATCAAAATTAACAAAACTCCAACTCATATATTTTGCTTTCATCAATTTTCTAGAAATTTGATCATTGTACATGTAACACATAGCTATGCATTTTCTTTGTGTCAGATTGTTATGTAAATAAGATATAACATGGGCATAACTCTCCCTTACCAATTTTGAAACATAAACCTGAGACAATTTATGCATTCATCCCAAAATATTATCAGATGATATGAACCCACATATATATACACCTATATAACTTCGTTTGCAAGCCTAATATGTTGTTCTAAGGATATAATCTTCATCCATCTTTGACACTATCACATAAAAAGAAGGGTACAATATTATCACTGTCAGAAACCCGAGCTTATGCAAAAATGCTCCATAGGCCATACTTGATATTTAAAGCACAGCTGGCAGTTTCAAATAAACAAATTAACAATACAATAAGATAGAATATTTGTTAGCAAACAAAGTATAAATTAGTGTCTGAAGGCAGTGAATTGCCTAATGGGTTAATAATCCAATGTCCTTGAGTAGACCTACATTAAATTTTCGACCCATATTTTTCAAATGATACATGTTGCTTCTTCTCAAACAAGATATTTATTTTTCATTTTATTATGTCGTATTTCTTTTCATTAATCTAGTTATTGTTTGTGGCATCAAGTTATTGGAAACTTAAACGAATTATTAGTAAATTACAACATATTATTACAACATAAACATATGTAGAAAGTAACAATTAAATACTTCGATATAATAACTGGATTAAATGAGGGATGAGAGGGGGTGGGTTGATGAACAAACAGTAGCAAGAGCTGATGGCATGCATGTAATGAGGAAGGGCATATTTGAAACCGCTAATCATTCCTTGATGCAATCTGAAATTTGGAATCGGATAGGATTTCATGCTATAGTCAACAGACTAAATATAGGTTAAGATTGACTCGAGCAATTTTCCTTTAACCGCATAGCAATAGGTTATGCCACTAGATATCATAATACAGAGTTTATTTCAGTTGCATAATGGCCTCCCAAACATAACAAAAATTGGTATTTTCATCCCAAGAGAAGTCAAACAATAGGTAATTCACTTTAGAACCCTGCATCTTTCTGAAATATGTGAACAATCCTCTACCTCGGCACAACAACAAGGGCAAAGGCCATTCTTAGCAATGCCTCTTCGAACCAAGCACTCATTAGTAGGGATCGCGTCATGAGTCGGTCTCCACCAATAAAAAAAAAAAGCCTACCTTGGGTGGAGATGAAATTTTCGTATCCAATTATATTCAACAGAATGATCAGCGAAACTTTTATCATAGGTCAGGACAGTGATAGTCTTTCCTAAATATGTAGAGAGAAATTTAGCACTGTCAAATTGAGATGGTTACAGATTTAAGACCTAGAAAATTAAGGCCACAAGGACCGACCGAAAGCAATCTTCTAGCATGAAATATTTCAAATATCATTATCAAGCAGGTTTTCCATTTTCCGATTTTCGGTGAGTTACTGATAAAAAAGAGCCATCTAGAGAGCGGTCGATTGAGAATCCATATATGTTCCATCATGTGAAAGAGTTTCCAAGGCCAACCAACCACCATATGATATTTGATAGACTTTCTGCATCATTCCACAAAATCTTCCAAAAACATAATTCTGTCGTATTTTTCAAAATTAATATTATGATAAGATCTTAGAATATAGATACTCTCACAAATAAATTAATGAATTAGTTCATAGAAATATAAATATCTTATGTGATCAAGAAATTAATGGGTTGAAGAAAAGACTAAGAAGATTGATAGCTTAAGATTTATACTTTGATATTCAGGCAGGAGTCGCAGAAGAAATGATGTTAGTGTAATTATATATAAGAATTTAAAAGATAATATTGTAAAAATTAATAGAATTGGAGATAGAATTATAGCCCTTAAGACTGTAGTTGATACTAAAACTTTTAGTATTACAAGTGCTTACTCTCCTCAAGTAGGTTTAGATATAGGCGTTAAAAAAAATCTAAAAAGACCTAAATAAATTAATACAAATGATAGACCCCGAAAAAAAAAATTTTATTGGAGGAGATTTAAATAGACATCTCGGTAAAGTGGTAGAAGATTTTAGAAATATTCATGGTGGCTACGGTTTTGAAGTGATTAATAAAAAAAGTAGAGTCACATTATATTTTATTTTAGCGTATGATTTTGTTATTGCTAATGTTTTATTCAAGAAAAAAAAGAACATATAATTACTTATAAGAATGGAACTAATAAAACACAAATTGATTATTTTCTTACGAGAAAAAGAAATCGTCGATAATGTAAAGATTATAAGATCGTTCCAAGTAAGAATTTAAGTACTTAACATCGATTATTAGTTTTGAATTTTAAGATAAAGACTTGTAAAATAAAGAAATTATTGTCATAAAATTAGATTGGGCACCTAAAAGACAACAACAACAACAACAACAACAACAAAGCCTTAATCCCACTATGTCGGGGCGGCTACATGAATCTCTTTTCTCCCTTTCGTCCTAT